ACGAATACGACGACCGAGAAATTGCCTCTGGAATTTGGGGAGAAAATGGATTGGATGTGGTGGTCGTGCTGCTGTGGTGGGTCGTCAGGCCCTTCATCTCTCCACGCTGCCCAGATTCGATTCAAGTACTCTCTCCCTATATCTTTATTTACCAAATTTATTTCATTTTATTGGATAAAATATGATGCAGAGTAAAATAAATATGGGAATATAATATCTATCATTTGTGCCATATTTATTTATGATCTTATGGTCTCAGGTTTTTGCCAAGAAAATGGATAAGAGTCAGGGTAAGAGGAAGGAGTTGTCTCCACTTGATGCAGCAGTTCTTATTCAGAAGAGTTTTAGGGCTTATCTCATCCAGAGGTTTCAGGCCCTACGTTCACTTCGTGAGATGGCCGTTGCCAAGACCAATTTGAAGGAGATGAGGGGTTTCTTCCACAACTTTTCCTGCCGCCGCCTTCTGGCTCGTGATACTGAAGAACATCAGATGGAGTTAAAGCCAACATTATGGAGGTACTCTGTGCTATCTCTAGCTTATCAGTCCATGAATATATATTTCTTTCGTCAATTTTGATTTTATTCTATGTCTTTTGTCGAACTTGCAGCAAGATCTATTCTTTTTTACTTATGCTCATGTATGCAAAAATGGCCATGTTGACTCAGTCATTTTATGATTTACATATTCTGGTATGAGACAAAAGATCATACTTAACCTTTTCATTTGTATGTCTTACTACAGTTGAATTGTACCATGGTTCTATTCAATGTCCTTTTCTTTGGAAACCCATGTGCACCTTGTAGTCCCCACGAAGCTTGTTGGTTTATTACTCTAAATATGTTAAAACTCTGTTTTTCTGATGCCGATGATATCACTTAGATTAAAATTAAATGTTACAAGATGTTGGTAAAAGTTATACATCATCGAGCTTTTTGCAAATTATATGCGTCTGAGAAAGGAGTCCTTCTCTACTTGATGTGTGTAACACTTCTAAGATGGGTTTTGGTAAGAGAAATATTAATTGTTGTAAAATACTAGATGAATATCGTGTCTGAGTTGAAACATTTGGATAATTAGAAAATTCAAATCAGAAAGTGCCACAGCTTCTTCTGATCACCCCTGAAGTTCAGTCATAATAGCCAGTGATCTCCAAAAATCACTCTTAAAATATTGCGAACACACTTTCCTAGGCATAATTTCAAAATTGGTCCTATAATTTGGCCACTTTCTAAAAAACCACTCCGATATTGACCACTTTCAAACTTGGTCCTATATTTGACATTTTAATCAAATTTGGTCCTTTTTATCCAAAATATGGATTAAAATGTGATTAAAAAAGGACCAAAATTGATTAAAAAATGACCAAATTTGATTAAAATGTCAAATTATAGGACCAAGTTTGAAAGTGGTCAATATCGGGGTGGTTTTTTGGTAAGTGGTCAAATTATAGGACCAATTATGAAATTATGTCCACTTTCCTAGTATGTAAGCGAAAAAATTTCAAAGGGGCATCCAAATTTTTTAATATGAACCGGGTAGTCTGGATCAAAACTCAAGTACGAATAGAAAAGGGAGAATTTCTTTCTGCCACTTTGTGGAAGAAGACACTTGGAACATCAAGTGGAAGTCTCATAGATGTTATTTGGTACTTCCCTTCAGAATTGTTTCTTTTGAAATTGCATTTTATGGGTTCAACTAGAGTAATGATATTTTTTACTATCCTTTGATCTTGAGTTTTGTTGTCTAACTACTTCCGGTATCTTTTTTCTTTTGATGTCTGTTTTTTGTGTTGTTTCGTTTTGGTATGTCCAATTGTACAAGGTGGAGTTCATATAAAGTTCAGAAGTTTTTTGGTGTTGTTTCGTTTTGGTATTTCTGATTGTACAAGGTGGAGTTTATATAGAGTTCAGAAGAAAATGGTCAGATAGCGACCCTATCACGTGCAGTTCCTCCATTGGCTATGGTGGTGCTGCCAGCCTGTATTCTGGCCGACCACTGCCTCATGAAGATGATTATCCTCTTGGATACTCTTTGACTGAAATCCATGATTCATACTTGCTCTTCGGAACTTATTTCTCAGACACAAATTCTTTAGGCTTCTTTTCCTCTTCTTTGCCAATCATTGGCTTTCCTCCCGGTAAAGGTGATTGGTAACGGGTCCAAACGCGTTAGAGTGAAAAAGATTCAAAAGTGCATATTTGAAAAAGATTTCATGTAATATCTCAGTAACGATGTGGCAATATAGATACCAAGAACTCTGTTTATTCTCAAACTTTTAGAATTTCCTCTATTTTCTTGTTTTTTAGCGAACAAGAACTACATGTATGTAATTTTACATTCAAAGTAAACCTATAGCTATTGAGATTGTTGTTTTTTGTAAGGTTAATTGAACCCTAAATTATAACTATTGAGGTTACTATTGTTTTTGCTATGGGCAGAGACATCGTAATCTATTTCAGTATGATTCTTATTTTGTAGGTTGGTCCATTATGATGGTGGCCTGGTTGGCTATGTCTTTCACGATCTATTGGGGATATGGATGTAGGATAGTTCATAGTTCATGTACCTTATGTGAAGCAAGTAAAGGTTCGTCTTCAATCTTTTCTCCCCTATTTTGCTACCTGCTAATTTAAGCCTTTTATTGTGACAGTCTTCCTAAAGATTGAAGCAATTCTTATGATCATGTTTGCTACTACTATGCATTATGGCTGCCAGCCCACAATTTTGTTTTTCTTAAACGATATGACTTCTATTGTCATTTCATTTACCCACCCCACTTTTCTCTCTTCTGCTGCCAAAGAGCGAAAAATTGGCAATCAATATCTCACCCTAGACTCCCTCCTCCTCCTCCTCCGACATCTTTTGTTTCTTTTCTGTACCTTTATGGCATCGTCGTTTGTTGTGGCATTTAATCTAATTTATTTCATTTATTCCCTATTAAATCTCGATTTTAGCTGAAACACTAAATGGCCTTATTGCGGTCGACTTTGAAGATAATTCTCCAGCACTCTGCCCGACGCACCGATTGGGGACTAACGAGTGGCTGAGGTTCAAGGTCGTAAACGTGCAAACGTGGGTAAGCCACTCTGACCGATAAGGACAGGTGTACCGATGGGTTCTGATGATTGCTCGATGATGGTGATCAAGATAGAGATGCATGATCGAAAGCAAACGAGTTTCGTCAGCTCCAAGAACAAGCTGGCCTCATCCCTGAATTCACCTTCTCTAGCTCTCCCAAAACTATTTATACGTTTAGGTTTCTGAATTGAGGATTCTAATTTTAGGGTACCATTTTTTTAAATCCAATATTTAATTTTTTTCAGGCAAGTTGATCGCCACCTTTCAAGTCCCATGCCCCAATCAAGAGAGAGAGAGAGAGAGAGAGAGAGAGAGATAACCGAAATAGCTCACAACCGACGATAATGGAAGATGCCACCGTGAAATTCCTGCTGGAGAACTTGAAACAACTCCTCGTGACAAACGCGGATCTGATCAGCAGCGCCAAGATCCAGGTCGAGTGGCTCAATAAAGATTTGCGCCTCTTCAACACCTCCATCAAGGACTCCACCATAGAGTGGCAAAAGGGCATCCACCTCTGGGAGCTCGTTCGACAGATTCGAGATTTCATGTACGAGGTGTAGGATGCCATCGACTAGGTAGATTAATTATTAACCTTGGCTAATTTTTTCATTTACTGTAAAACAAAGTTAGATTAATCATTTTTACAGGTGGTGAAGACCAGGTTGAATACCCAAAAAAATTGCATTAATTTTGTTTCTTTTTCTTCCATTCGTGATGCCGAAATGTCGTCGTTTAGGGTCTGAATAATATCTTGACTGAATTGCCCTTCATTTTACCTGCCTTTTGGGGTTAGTCAGTTAATTGCACTATGACAGTGGTTTTGTCTTTTGTTACACTCACACTATCTTCTCTCACACACATAATTTCCTGCTTTTCGTCTGTAGACTTCAACACCTCTTAATTTTTTTTTAATGCTTCATTGTGTGTTTCCAAATATGTTTATCAGAAACAATGATCAACACAATGGTTTCAAGCTGCCATTTTCTTAATGTCATCGATATGTTCCGTGTGGACTTCAAAAGATGGTTGGCTATGGTTGTTGAAGTCATTTGTTCAAATATTCTTCGGTCGATGTTACATTTTCTCTTTTCTTAGAACATGCCGTATTTCTTTTTCCATTTTTTCCGCGATTAGCAGACGTTTCAATTCAATATGTGCATCCATTGTCTTAAATTCTTCTGGTCTTTATTTTTCGGGTTTAGAGTAGTTCCACTGAGAATGTAGTATACTCTTTCTATTGATTATATGGATTAAATGGTTATTTTCTAATTTCATACAATGGCATAGGATGAATATGTTTTTTTTTTTCTCTAGGACCTACATCTAAAGGGTACCATATAGATAAATATCAGAACTAATAATTTACACTTGCAACAGTTTATCTACTGCCGTCTACTTGAGATACCAAGGAAGAAAAGTTTAGGATTTGGTTAGCTTAGCAACATTTTCCATTTTTTCCCTGTTGCCATGATGATCCCTTCTTGAGTTATTTGAATTGATTGGTTGCTCTAATTTTGTTTAAGATTCTGGTACTGCATGCGTATAAGGGGAAAAGACACTTTATTCTTCCATCATTAGGATGTGTAGTGCATGATAATTTCAAACCAATCCTTTATGTTTCTTTTCTGTTTCCCTTCTACCTGGTAGCTTATTTTATTTTCTGTCACCCTGCTGCTATAATTAATAAATCTATTATTTGAATGTTCATAATTGTGTAGCAAGTAATAATTATTTTGGAGACTGCTATATTTCATAATCACTGTACATTTGTGATAATTTCTTTTTTTCCTCCTCTTGTGAACATAAAGTGCTATTTGATCCATCAAAGTGCGGCAAGTTAAGCATAGATCATAAGAGAGAACTGGTTTATGAACTCTCAAAGTGGTCAGATGGGGCTATAGAAATTATGCATACTTGAGTTGTCATGATATATTGCAGATCATGTGTGTTGAGTCTGGCAAAGAACGCAAGAACACGAGCCTAAATAAGACGAAAATAATCAAACAACTTCTCAAAATTATCCACGAAAAGAAATCATACGATCAAGGACAAGGACGTTCAAATGCTCCCGAACTACAATTCCCGTCAGAAAACGATGAGAGAACTTCCATAAGATACCATCATTATAAAATGAAGTTATGGCCTTGATAACATCTAAATCACCTTTTCATTTGATCTTTCGCATATGTTTTGCTCTAGCTACTGCCAAGCTTGAAAAGTGTAATCAGTAATTTGAACTCACAATCAACATATTCTCAGTATTGGTATGTTGACCATTAGTGTGCTCTAGCTAAAATGATGGTTAACATTAGAAAAAAACATATTCTCAGTATTGTAATCAGTAATCTGAACTCACAATCAACATACTGATGGTTAACAAAGATTTTTTCTTGCTCACTTTTTATGGTCTTTTGAGTATTTGGCCATGGTTACCAAATAGAGATGAAGTTACTGTTATATTTTTAAAAAGTCATTTAGTTAGCATTTTCTTGTTGCATTCACTTCATACTTTTTCATTCCTTTATGTTGCTAAAGAGGCAATTTTATAAAGTTTGTTACATTTCCTTGATTTTTCTGCATGCATATTCTCTCTTGATCTTGAAATACAATTAAGACAAGGTAAACGATAAGGAGAGGTGCTAAGAGAAGGATGATGCAAAAGGACGAGCCCAGGTTAAGCTGGCGATAGAGGACCTGGAAAACTCACATAATCGATCTATCAGGGAGACAATAGAAGTGAATCACTTA